TATATATATATATACTTATACTACAGCTGTTTCTATTTGGTGAACTGTACTGTGACGAAGAAACGAATTATTTGTGTTGACGTACTTGGATAAAAGCAGATAAAATAAGTTACAAGAATAAAATAAGTTCTCTCTGAGTAGCCAATCAGGTCCTTTGCTCGTCGAGTCCAGAGCCTTATTTTCAACAAGAGACTGAGTGAAAATGGCTTTGGGGAAAAGAATGATGAGAACCAAGTGCATGGGCATTATACTATGACTAACAATGTTAGGGCGACTGCATTTTGTGCCATGTTCAAGTAAACCAGGAATATTGCGTAGAATATAATGGAAGATTTTCATGGTAAAGACCAAACTGAATGTTCACATTTTATCATGTTCTAGGGCGAAACAAGTGTACATTTTATTGAAGTGAAGAATGGCGCACCACATTTAAATCCAGGTAACAATGCTAAGAATGGAAATGTATGGTTTGTAAAAGGGTTCTGTAGATAAAAATTTCGAGTGTGAATTTTATACATTTGTTAAATCATGGATAATAAAATAAATGGATAGGAAACTAGCTGACGTGACCTAATGTTTTCAATGGGCTGATGGCGTGATTGGATGTTGAAACCTAGTTGCAAAAACGGCATGTTTAGCAATAATACAGCTAAACATTTTAGTCAAAGAGCAAATGAATATAACTACGCCATTCTACGATGAAATCTCTAAGTATTCCCAGTCAATTTTAGCAAATATTTCAAGCACTATAAACAGTGAAAAAGGCATTCCAAATTTCGTTAAAATTGGGGACGCCAATTTCGTAGCTACAAATGTTAAAAAGATACAAAACAAAGACGAAAAACATTTACCTTGAATACTTTGTCGTGGCTTAGGCATGTTTTTAAAACAATTAGACCAGTTTATGCTTCAATATTACTCTTTTAAAGCGGAAAGTATAGCGAAACAACAAAAATGCCGAGAACTTTGCAATACGCGTGACGTCACAGATTGCAACTAGTTTTTGCTTACGTCAGCTAGAGTCCTATCCATTTATTTTATTATCCATGGTTAAACCTAACCAGGAACATTTGCAAAAATACAACTGCAATAGGCATCCCTTACTGAAGAAGAACATGCATTTATTGGAGAACATATACATGCTGAAGTCATGAAGAGTCGAGTCAGCCAACTATACACACGTAAAAATCTCACAACTTGTCAACAAGATGTGTTCGCAACAGGCTTGTAGCAAGCTTGTCAACAAGTTGTAACAATGCTGTTAAATTATCAAGTTGCTACAAGCTTGTCACTCACAACTTGTTGACAAATTGTTGAACTGCAGGACGATAACAAGTTGTTGGAACAACTTGTAACAGGTCTGTTGAACTCAACAACCTTGTAGGGAGTTGTCAACAAGCCGTTGACAACTTGTCAACAAGCTGGGAACAAAGTGCGAACACATCCTGTTGTTGGGACAGCATTGCTACAAGTCTGCTGCAGGTTTGTTACAACTTGTGCATTTTTACATGTGTACAGGATAGGACTTTATGGCGCCATCACGTCTTGACTTCGCTTTTTCACTCAGACATTTTGCAGGCACATTTGCGAATAACTCCTGCGATCTCGGGCACAGAAAAAGTTATCGACCCCTGCCTGACCGGACAATACGCAATGACCGGTCGTTATTTCAAACCCTGCTGATTGTCACACAACCACGTTAAACAATGCGAAACTATTTGTTTTAGTGACCACTCATCGTCTCACAGAACAGATGAAGGGAGCCACTTTGATTCCCAAACTTGCAGTCAATGTCATGTCTTGTGAAGTTGTACGTCTCATGGTTCTAACAAAATCTTCCATCATGCCGTTACGTTACCAAGTACCAAGAAAGGTTGGATTATAGACTTTATTTATTATTTTCATTGGCTAATTTGTTTAAACACCTGTTTACATCTGCAATTTTGGCTTGTTTTGAGTATATGTTCCCTCAACTGTACTTTCATAACTCATCCACTCGTTCACATACATCAGAAGACGAAAATCGCACCTAAAATTGCAGCACAAAATTGCAAGTGTAAACGAGCCTTAATTAAAGACCATGCAAAGTCCGTTCTGCGCAGGCCTACATAAGTTCCAATGGTCGGGACCCGACCATTGGAATGCTATTAATATTTCGCACCTTTCGCTCTTTCTTGAATTGAATCTCTAGTCTGTATTCATTTACGAGCATAGCGAACCAGAAGAGTGTTAAAAATTCAGTATAATATATATCTAATCATATTTTACAACTGAAGCACTGAGTTCAAAATGTAAACAAAGCGTTAGTTTACATTACGGATTTTACATGACCTTTAAGTAGTAGTATAAATGAGTGCAATTTGGAAGAACACATAAACGAGTGAGTTTTTTATAGATGATCTATATAATATTGAATAAATAACATTACTTTCGCAGATTATTATTGCAAATGTCATTCCACAAAGGAAGACTTTGATTAAGTAGTACTTCAAGTTGTATAATTATTGTACATCACAATTGTTTTGCCTGAAATCAATCAAGTTTTTATGTAAATCTTCAGTCTTATCGCGAACTCCATGCTGATCTGTTTCCCGATACATACAGCGAGGAACCCGCCATGACGTCAGAGGAATGGTTCCAGGGTGAAAATAAAGAGGTAATCATTACCTATAGCTGCTGGGTCGTGTACGATATTGTATTAGCAGTTCGTGTGACATAAAACTGACAAGGGGTGTAAAACACCAAGTGATATCTTGTTGTACAGTATATACGAATTTTGGATCATAACACATCTTACTATTTTTATTGCAGAGATCAAAGATAAGTTTAGATCCATCAAAAAGACCAGTAAGAGAAAAGAAGAAAGCTGCCGTTCCTGCAAAAGTCGAACCTCAGTCAGAAACAACTAAAACTGTCCAGGTACAAGTATGTAGGTGATCTTGTTATATAACTAGAGTGGACACCAAACGTGATTGGCTGATTTGTGGTCACGTGGCTTTAGATAAATGCGATGTATTCCGCCGGTTCTTTTAATTTTAAACTCGTTTACACTGTTTCGTCGCTATATAACAAAACACTTAATGTCTGTTCCCTCGGGAAATAGTTAGTTTTGTTTCCACTCGAGTCTCAATGTTTCCCGGATATTTACCGAGATATACGCCCGTATTCTAAAAGCTCACTCACACTCAATGAGTGGAGGTTCAATCTGAGCTTTTCTTGAGTATCAATGCTGCTTTTGAATAGCTGGAGGGTGAATAGTCACATAGTAAGGTACGACACTAACCCTCCGGCTGTTCAAAAACAGCAATGACACTCGAGAGAAGTTCAGACTGAACCTCCACTCATTGAGTGTGAGTGAGCTTTTAGAATACGGGCGATTGTCTCTCAATGTCTTGGTGAATATCCTTGCACTATTCACCTCTATGTCGGCGAATAATTGTTAATTAGCCGGGGATTTTGACGGAACGAGAATAACGTTTTAATATATAATAACAGACCACTAATACATAGTCATAGTCAGTGGTGTTTCATGCTGAAAATAGCAGTTTTAACTTGTCCTGTTTATCGAAGACAAAATGTAAGACATAGAGTTCTTAATGTCAATCAGCAAAACGTCACCTAGTGCGTGTGGGGAGGAGGATTGGGGTGAGGATATTGTCTCAATTGGTACTAGACTTTTTTCTCAACACTGTTATTTTTAGAGTGAGAAAACTCCGCCGCCTAAAACTCCGCCGCCTATGACGTCTCCTCCTGCGTCCAAAGAAGTTGATACCCCCACATCATCAGCCACATCTCAAACTAACACCCAACAAGACTCAGGCTCCTCCGAACCGTCAGCAACGTACAAAAGGCCACACAAAACCTTCTCAAACCTGTATCATTCAAAATACCGTCACCTTAAGGGCTCACCATTACACCGTAGTCAATATATTGAGAACGTGAGGAACCTCAGCAATTCGATATTCGGCGAATGCGATGGCTTTCAGAGCAACTCTAAACGTGCAGCAATACCACTTGAAGGACCCGGAGGGAAAATTGCAGTGATCGAGGTATGTTAACAGGAGCATATCTGTAGCTGAAAAAGTTATAGGGGCATGAAACGACGCTACCCTCCATAGTCTAAGGAGCTAACTCCAAATTAAAAATGTGCCTTGGCAAACCAGGCTTTTAGCCAGGATCCTGAAAAAGGGCGTTCAGTTTTGATTTAATGACATATATACCGTAGGGGGGGGGGGGGGGGGGGG